GAGTTCGACCAAAGGACTAGAGGCACTTTTCAGTTATCTGCAGAATAAGACATATGAGAAGTAACCATCCACACAAGGAAATCTAAGAAGGTCAGTGTGCATCTGAGACTACCTACAGAGGGATGTAAGGTTGAAAACTGAAGGAAAAGTTGCATTAAAGGCCTTTGTTTCCATCCGTTCACTGAATTTCTGCTTGCTTATACCTCTATTAACAAAATAAATTCCTTCATCGTTATCTTTTGTAAAGCTACTTCTTTATTGGAGCCACAGCTGTCCAGATGTTGCTTCTCTTTTTAAGGAGTCACAGAGCAAAGGGCCAAATCTGCATTGCTTAAATGCACGGGTACAAAGTGTTTCTGTACCTATGTGAAATTTAATCGACAGGATGTATGAAATCAGTGTATATCTGATAACACATGATAAAGTGATGGTAATATATATATATATTAATATATATTTATTTCAAGTGAGTCAAAGAGTTGCTTTCTGTATATAAGATGTATTTTTGGGGATTTTCTTTAAGTCGATTATTGTTTTGAACTGAAGTGTAAACCAAAGTTTGCATGAGGACTGGTTCTTGCTCCTTATATTCACATTCCATCTACTGAAGAAAACTGCTAGAAAAAATGCCACATATGGTGAGATTATGTGTCAGCGGATCAGATTCAGTGACTGCTCAAAACATAATCTGTTTAAGCTACCATAACCATCATGATAACACACTCACTTGGCTAATTCAAGGAGAATTTTTTTGTGTCACACAATTCATTGATCATACGTTAAAAGTCTTTATTTCACAGAACAGGTATCTTGTTTTATCATAACTTCCTTACTGCTTTCACAATCACCAAAAACATGCTTCTGTTACATAAAATCAAGAATACTGCATATGTACTAACATGCTGATATGTACACACAATATCATCTTCACACTGTTAATGTCCATCAGTCTTTAGTTATCTAACAGATATGGGAAGGGTTTAACTGAACTTAATGTATACAAAACTCCTGACCTCGTTGTGTGGGCAGGAGTTTCCTTACAGTGGAAACTTCCTTGAATTAAAATACACCTAGATTTTTTTTCCAAATCAGAACAAGAAGTGGAAAAGGTGTACACTGGAAATTTCATGTGAATGCTAGCATTCCAGGTGAATATACAAATGTGTCTCCTCTTAATCAAGTAGCATTTGTCCTGGGTACAAAATGACTTTAGATAATTAATTGAATCAATGGTACATAACATTTTATCTGAACTACATATGGTAGCCGTTCTTGCAGTACCGTGGTGGTTCACATGTATAACATGGCTTCCATTTATCAATGCAGATAGTGTGAAATGTGATGGTTTATGCAAATAGATAATCTGATGATCATGATGATATTAGCTAACAGTTATTTCTTTGTTGTGTATTTTTAGAACACACAAAAGAGTTGATTCCTGCTCGGTCTTTAAGTAAACACATTGTGACTACACTAATTGTCAGTGATGAATATTGTGAAAATGCAACAGTTGTGTAGCTGGAGTCAGCTTCGCCCTTCATATTGAACAAGAGTTCAAAAAGGTTTATATTTTGGTGTGTATTATAGTTATGGATCTATTTTATTTTACCAAAAACATGTAGGTCTGTGAATGTTTGATAAAACCAGAAGATATTTGTCCATTTTTGCAGTTGTACACATGCAGCACAGAATAATAGATAATGTTAACTGTTTTGTGTAACTAATTGCATGTAAAATATTGTACTTCTAAATGTGCTGCCTGTGTGAATACCTTGGATTTCTGGGTATGTTTTGTAACAGCATTGTAAGTATTGTTAGAAATGTTTCCATGTATTTTTGTATTTATTTGAGATAACCGTTTGGATGTGCAGTGCCATGTGGTTTCCTTTGCTCCAGAGGCACCCTGACTCACGTAATCACCCATTCTAAATGACCCCATAAAATCGTTGATGATCAACACGGGTCAGGAAGGCAGATAATTTTGTACATGTATTATTTACCTTTTCATTTGACAGTTATCAGATTAAGTATTTTGTTGTAAATTATCAAAGGCATGTCAGATAAATTAATATATAACATTGTGTTTGACTGAGCTTTATAAGTATGAACAAGGATATCAAGGATATAGGACTCGATTAATGCTCTATGGAGTTGTTTAGTGATTTTCAGTCACCAGTCTTATTTATGGCTTTTAGGGTTGAATTACAGGGAACTTTTAAGTCATTTAGTAATCCTACTAAAATTAACAACAACAGCACACTTCAACTTAATCCCATGAAAAGTAAAACCTTTTGCAGGTGCATCATAGTGCTCCTGAATTTATCTTTGTTTCCTAACTTGCCAAATCTATAATCAGCTGCATAGCAGTGATTCAGTTCACAAAAGATGTCATGTTCTCATGGGAATTTCAGCAAGTTTATTATCAAAAGCTCCATTATGCTTAAATAATAAGTCATGTTTTGGGGATTTTGATTTTTTTTAATAAAAGGTGTCCCTAAATTCACCCCTTCAACTCCATCTCTTGGTACATAACAGTTAATATCCTCCTGCTTGACTTTGGGGGCCTAGAAGAGCCTGTGAGAAGGGCCTGTCTAATGTGACTACTGTACAGCATCACTGAATGCAAATCACTCAGGTGTGCTGAGCTTTAATCACACCGATCCTTCAACAGAGGGGTCATTCTGTATTTATTTTAATTTGTAAAATATTCCAAGCTATATGAAATCTGATAGAAAAAGCATTTTAAAAAGCTTTGAACTACTGGCTTCTCTTGTAGGCACCAGATCCAAATTCCCACCTCAGCATTGTGTTTGAAGCGTCCTAGATCATACAGTTTGAAGTAAGCCAGTTATAACAGAAAACCTCACTCTTGTTTGCCCCTGTTATCCGTTACAACTGACAGTGTCTTTGATGGCTTTCTGTGGTTTTGTCTCATGTATGTGTATTTAATCACGCACACCTTGGGGTGCCTTACACTTTAAATGTCAGAGATTGATCCATACATTGTGATGGGTAAAAGTAAACTACTTCAAATAAACTATACTTTAAGAGTGTGTTTTTTGTTTTGCATTTTTAACACCAGTGGTGGAAGAAGTACTCAGATCCTTTAAGTAAAAGTAGCAACACCATCTAAAAATACTGTTCCAAGTAAATGTCCTGTATTCAAAATGTTAAGTACAAAAGTATTAGCATAAAAACATACTTAAAGTACTGCAACCCCACATCAGAAAATGTTTGGTCGGTATATAAAATCTAAATTATAACTGAAAATAGTGAACTGTAAATCATCTGTGCCCTGTATTACATTGGAAACAATACAGCAGCACATTATTTGATGTGATATTTCAATTTAAGTACAGATACCTCAAAATTGTACTCAAGTTCCTAGTTACTTTCCACTTTCACACATAAGTATGTCTACAGTCAGTCTCTTTTACTAATGCTGTAGTATTTAACAGCTGTTCAGATATGAAGGAGTTGAGCTTCCGTCTACATTCTGAACATTTGCGCTGCTTTCAGTGCAGTCGGCTTTTAACTCACTGGGTTTATTGGGAGTACTTGACATTTCCTGTGTCAGCTATGAGGACGTAAGAGACCTTCTCATTGATGTGATGAGCCTGCTACAGTCGACCTTTGGAAATAAAATACTGTATGTGGTAAAGAGAATCAGGCTTAAAGGTCTTTTTACTATTAATTCTGAGCCTTAAACCATATCTCAGTCTTAACTCAACAAACAGGGCTGGTCCAGTGTCATCCTGTGAGCTAAATGTGAAATGTTAATTACATGCAGACAAGCTTTTCAACCTAGAGCCACTAGAAAGCTGACAAAAGGTTGAAGAAGCCATTCAAATCCAACACCATGAGCACACTTTGTCACCTTGCCTAGGTCCACGTGCCGAATGAAGACCATGAGATACAGAAACATTAATGACTGAACCTTTGAGCTTAGAATCTCTTCACATCTTAATCAAGGTTTCTGCAGGTGTCACCATATTAAATAGAAGACTTTTTAATTTTAAGACAGCACAGATGGTCAAGTATGATCCAGTATGTTCTACAATTACTTAATACTGCTTTAAAGAGACATGAGCTTCATAGTAGCTACTACGCCTAGCAGTAGTGACAGTGTTTGGTCTGATGGCACTGACAGAAACTCATCCAAAAAGGAGTATAACACAATCACTTTCAGTTCAAAAGTGTTTAATACCTCACAACGGCCAACGTTTGCCACATTTTATCGCTAACATTACTGCCTACAGTAGCCAAGATAAAATACTTAATCCTCTTCTCTACCATCTACAGCCTGTTGTGAAGAAACTAATTAGTTCTTCTCAAATTTTTAAGACATGTACATGCCCTGATGGAAGCTTTTTGTATTTTATAATAATGACAATCCATTATTAAAGCAAGAATGGATTCTTAAATTAACTGAAAAACATTATTTGCAAAGGAATTACCAAATCATCACCAAATTCAAATAAACTTAATAACAGCTATGACCACTGTATGTTCATTAGGGTATGTTCACATTAAGAGCAACCCAGCCACTGGTCCTTCTGTTTTGTGGATTTCTATCTTGGATGAAGTGTATTGCTAATTGAGAGGAATCAAATAACAATCACCATCAGCAATTTTTAATCCAAAGATGCTGTTGTTTTAATGTTGAACTAAAACATTCTGGCAACACAAAACATAACAGCATTAAAAATTCAGAACTGTGTTAGGAGGGTTCAGGCCATAGTAAATACACAAATAACCGGTTCTTTTTACTCTTTTTCTCAACTAACAGTAATAATATATAGTATACCATCATCTTGAAGTACTTGATGTACACCATCACATAATGAATAGATCTGTCAATGTAACCCACACTCTTGTATCCCTTCTTCTGTCTAGACACAAAAAAAGCAGGATGCACCTGTTACACAGTGCCCTGCTTTTTTTGTTGTCCAAGTACTTTTAACTTGCAGTTCCAGGAGCAAAGTTGCAGTAAAATGCCCCTCAGGGATGCTCCTTGGACGCAGCTTTCAGCTTCCTTTTCATCTCTTGTGCATGCTGCCTGCTTTTTGCCTGCTTTTCCAGTCTCTGTTAAATGGCAAGGACACAAACATTGATATAAAAAAAACATAAAGGCTCAGTAGTTGTTTCTTATTAACACACACAGAAAATAATGATAACTGACAGACCTCTGTCTTCAGGCAGTTACGCATAGCACGGTCTGCATCATTGCACGTGCCAAAGAACTTCAGGACACTGTGCTGAGGGTAGCATGAAACATGAAATAAGACTTACATTATTTTGTTTTCTGTGCATGTAAAGCACACAGCAGTAGAAGAACACTGAAAGTGACATACCTCTGTGTGGCACTGCCTCAAAAGACTTATTAGTTCATTGCACTCATCAGTGTGCAGGTGAGGTGACAGGTCAGAGTGCATTCTGGGTTAAGGGCTGCAGCAACACCGAAAAGCCACAAACAACAATTACACAAAGTTCACAATGATTATTACAGTGATGTGATTTAGTGATAACTGGCAACTATGCATCTAAACACAATTCTGCATTCAGTTGTACTGCACTTTTCCATTACGTAAGAATATGTTGAACGCCAACATTAAGCTGCAAATACTGCTCATTTTCAGTACTGGTTCATATTAATCTGACTATTTTATCTAAAACATATCTAGAAATAGTGTAATACTGCTCATTGGAATTTCCCAGAACCCAATCTGACATCTTCACATCTTGTTTTGTCTGGCCAGCAGTCCAAAGATTGTCAATATACAATATAATGTAAAGAAAAGCAGAATGTCCTCACATCAGAAAATCTGGAATCAATGGTATTTATGTTTGATAAAACAATAATCAATTTTAACAAACCTTTTGCTGATAAAGGCTCTTTAAAAACACTAATAAATCACTCCAGTAATTGCACTGCTATTTACACACTATGAGGTCAGTACTGTTAGACGTATTCCAGGGCATGGTTTCTAAAGGCTACTATAAAGTGTTGTGACATTTGGCACTGGGACGAGTTGACAGCATTGTAACACAATAGCTGGGTTAACAATTGAGATGTAAAAGATGGTTTATTAAAAGTTGTTTGATTTGCAATGCATTGCGATACGTTACCCTCACGACAGGATAGGCTGTATCATCTGATGTGTTCCAATAGTTAAGTGTGACGTTAGCTAACAAACTTCCAGGCCTCAACTAACGTTAACGCAGCTTAAATCCCTGCAACCGCGGAAGAATGGTTACACCTCCTCCGTAGAATAACAACGCAGGTTACTATACCGCCTCTACAGTTTCAGCTAAATTACTCGATCTTGTGCTAATATCAATATAACCTACAAAAATACCAAGGACGAGAAAAGCTTCATAACGCTTTGGCGGAGAGACATTTGAGTGACAATAAACAATAGCGAATCGACGACGTCCGACTTTCTCCCAATCTACCAATGGTGTGCGTTGTAGTCATAAAAGACGGGATGTGCAATGACCTGACGGAAGTTTACTGACATCACAAGATTTTCCGGTCATCGTATTTCCGCTTTTGCCTGTGAAAGCCAGCACAATATCTTTTATGATATAAGTTATGGACATCGGTGCTTGAGTTGCATGATTTCGCTTAACAATAACAGATGTTTTTTTTCCCAAAAGTAAGAGGACAAATGGTTCAGCGTATCTGTAACCTTCGTAATTAAATGCCACTGGGAATGAGGCGGATACACATTTCACTTAATTACTGGGTGAATTTGAAACCTTTCCGGATAGCTTTCCACAATATGTTTGTGGATATCTGCAATTGCATTTTATAGTCATAATACAAATTGTGAATATCGATATTGACATTCTAAATAATCACAATGTACATTGGATACTCGTAATTATATTAAAAATATCTAGAATGATGATTTCATCTTTTGGTTATTTGGAATTTAATTGTGACTAATAACATTTGTATTGTAGGTAGCTGAAATATGCGGGGGGTTTTCCAAGTAAAAATTGCTGATATTCAGAATAAACATTCTGGATATCAAACATGACGCTGATATCTGAAATGACAGCTATACCCATAGCTTTCTACCGAAAGAATGCAACTCTGCATATGTGAATGTTATTTTTTACTGGGAAGAACTGAATTGCAAATACTGTATTTGCAATTACATATCCTGTCTAGCTAAATGTTAAAAACAGCAGAACTAGAAGTAAAACCACGCCAAGACAACAGATGGCGCTAAAGAAAATGTGCAAATATTTTTGGCGATATCTGATTGGTTGATTCGTGTGCTCTTCTGCAGGCGGTTTGTTTGGAGCTGTTAGTTTTGGTTATTCCTATGGCATGGGGCAGGTGGTTTGATTATAATCAAGAGCTATCTTCTAGTTTCAGTAGCTAAGTTTAGATTGGTGTTTGAGGAAAATGGGTGATGCTACTAAACGCTTACTACAACGGCTCATAAGACGGACACGGATTCAAATGCTTAAAACTACGTTGGAAAAATGGGACCGTTTGACATTGGCTCAGCGGCAGTCCATGGTTTTTATCCAGTCAAAGTCGGCGATAACAGAAAAACTACTTTCTATTTGCGAGGTATGTGGTGTTGTTTCTGAAATGTATGCGGTGCTAAATACAATTTAGAGTTACAGTGTGGAGGAAACGGCAAACTGGTTGTTAGCCCACATCATGTTCTTTATGAAAATATTTGCTGAAATGGACCGTGATATTTAATGTTGTACACGACGTTACCATGTCCAATCTTAGCTAGGCGTTTTAAATTGTAACTTAACTTTTAAAGTTGCTATTTAAGGGAAATCAAAACAATTTGCATGTAGCTTCTGTGCATTCCTTAATCCTCGCTTCTTTTCTGTACAGGAAAATGAGTGGACAGTTAAACACATCGCAGAACTTGAGATGATACGTAAGTTAGCTGAAAGTTGTGTGTCATTTGGACTTAAATCACGTCATGGAAACCTTTCGACATTTTGACCATGGATATTCCGACTTCCACTGGGGTTTATTCTCACTAGTGTTTGAGTGAGTTTTGTTGTGCGTTAGGAGAATAAACTTTTACTGATACTGCACAGGTAGTATGTTCACCTTATTGCGCAGTATTGAAGTGTAACAAGGATCAAACATTTTTATTGTCAGTTCACTATGTGCAGGACATACAGAAAAGCGAAATACCGTTTCTCCCTCACCTAGTATTGAATGCCATAACAGTTAGTGCTTAAACGAGAAACTGAGTAGGGACCGTCTCTAAAGTGTATACCGCATGACCGAAAGGGCTTTTAAGAGTTATTTTTCTCGTGCCTTTGTTCATGTTGTGTTTTCTTTGTTTTCAAATATATTTCAGGCCAACTTCATGTACATCTCAGAGTCAGTCATGTATGCTCATCCTCCATTTACAGATTGAAGTTGTAATGTAGACTTGCAAGATGTTACAGCTTTGTTTTTTCTTTTTTTGCCAATATATTGCTTGTATTTAGCATGAGACCATTTTTGTTTTCATTTTGGCCTGTTCCTACTACATGCACAAGCTCCAGATGAATATTGCCCAATGAGCTTACTATGGCCAGTTTTTTTATTTACTTATTTATTTTTTCTATAGTTTCCACACTCCTTTTTTTCAGAGACATGGAAAACAATTTAAAAAAAATCTGGGCCTCGTTCCACTGCATACAGAAAGTCCAGTTTTTCTGTTAATATATTAATATGGCTCAGTGAGCTAATTATGGCCAATTTTTCATCAATAGCCATTTAGTGAAATGTTAGAGAACTTTGAAACAAAAGCTGTAACAACATTTAGTCCACATTGCTTAATTTTAACCTAAAAATAGGGAACGTACATGCACTGAGAGCATAGAGCAGTATTGTTTATTGTTTTTCCTCTTCTTGCACTTAATAAACAGTCCCTAAATGTCCCTAATTTCAGCTCCTCATTCGTTCTGTTCACTGTCCATGTGCGCTATCAGCTCATGCAAGGGCTTTAAAGCAATGTGCTTCAACACCAGATTGTGAGGTAAAAATATCACCTGTGCAGTATCAGTAAAGTCCATAACGTGCAACCAGTGTGGTGGAGACTGATGGTCTCTGAAAGGTTTTTGAGGACTGACTTCATTGAATGTCTGAAAATTCAATGTCAAACTGACTACACCATGGTTGTCTTCAACCCAGTAATGCTTCTTGTGTTGCTTTGGTTTCATTGTCTCTTAGATGTCATGGATAATCCAAACCAGGGGATGTGGTATGCCTTTCGTCTCATGGACCCTGAAGGTATGTTAAAACAAGAATATGCATTGTGTATCATAGAGGGCTGAAAGACTTAAGCTACATTCATAGTGCAGGCCTTTAATGCTCAATTTCAGTCCTGTTTTTTTTGGTGGCTCTGCTGGTGGGATCAGTGTTCTCTTTCTAATTGAAAGTTTGTTTGCTTTACTCTGTTAAATAACTCACTGGAGTCTGTGTCATGTGCTTTACAGGTAGAAAGCACGGCAAATATTTTTGTACATTGTATGGTAGTGTCACACATGAATACTTTTCAGGGTTTTTTTCCCCCAGAGAATAAAGAGCAAGATTATGATTGAGTTTACCGTTCAACTCCATAGTCATTGTTTTGTTTTTACAGCTGTAGCATATGGATGAAGTAAATTTTAAATGTCCATCTTTCAATATAAGTTTATCATTCTCTGTTTTCCAGATGATGCTCATTCTGTAGAACTGATGCAGTTCAAGGAACAATTTAAATCTCTCCTCCATGAGCTTGTAAGACATGTAAGTCAAATATTTCACCGCACATAAGTTACAGAATCCTTCTGTTTATATAGGTGCAGCGTTATTCTTAATGTGTTGGATTTTTCAGTGTTTAACATCTTTTATTAAAAGTCTGCTTTTATACTGTGTTCATGTCATGTCAGCAGAATGGGGAGGGTGGGAATAGTTCCCATAGAAATGACTTAGGAGTGTTCACACAAGATGATGACTGTCTGCAATGTAGTCTGCTTTGTGTTATTTAACTGTATTATTTTATTTTGTGTGACCACAATGTGAGTAACATACACTCTCAATTGTCAAAATATATAGACTAATACTAAATCTTTTTACACTCAGTTTGGAACAATGAATTAGTATTTTTAAGTTAGACTACTTTGGTTGTTAGGCTAATTTGTCAGTTAAGCTTTAAAATGAATAACTTTCATTTGTTTTGAGTGACCACAAAATGCCAGCAGTCCTCTGTGTAGGCTAACTATGTAGTAACTTTTTATAGTACATATTTTTTGTTCACTTACACCTGGAATTGGGTGTAACTGCTAGTGATAATTGTTTGTGAAGCCATTTTATAACTCAGAATGGCGACACTTCTGCAAACCTTTCTGCCAAGTGTGAGATATCATAGCGGTCAGAAATTCCAGATTTCTCCGACTCAGAATTGCAAGTCAGAGGTTGACGTGAACGTTTTTTTCCCCACTTGGCTGCTCATTATTACACTCTTTAAAACATGATGTGAACACAGCATTATATTGCATTCAAGGTGTCTGTCAAAATAAAGAAGCATGCGGATGAAGCTATATGGATTCGGATTGCATGGGGAGACGGCTTCTCTCAGCCCAACCACCTGAAACCAACATACGTCGTTCACTATCTTCAAACCCCTTTTGTCTTTGTGACCAGCATCACTTCAAAGCAAAAGCCTCTTTTATCCCAGGTGAGGAATGTCTTTTATATTTAATTCTTGTATTGTTTGTTCAGTTGCCAGGTTGTTGTTTTTTTTTTCTGAGAGAATGGCATACTTTGCAGGCCTTGACTGTGTCCACTAGACATCAAGATCTTAAGAATGCTAACCTCAGTGGACGGAAACTCACTGCCATCAGGGACCTGCTGATGCAGCAATATCCACAGGTAAGTCCATTATGACTATAACAGGACAAAACGGTTTCCTCGCATTTCAAAGTTGCCTTGATTTTTAACTTCACACACCATGCAATGATATGTATGGCCATTTGCACCTTTATTAAACATTGCTGATAAGAACTGGAGCGTTGTCTGTCACTGAACTCTGCAGTCATATACTGGAGAGTGCCTGATTTGGGGGTGAAACTGCTCCACTCATGTTTTTGTTTATGCTGTATAATAGTATAAAAAGGATGATCACCTGTTAAAGAAAAATCTAACTTGTTTTCCTTTTTTTCTTGTGAATCCATTGTTTTTATCTTGTGAATGGAATTTTTGTATATTGTGTTGAATTTTAATATGTTGTGAATTTCTATAGCTGCCATCTTGGCCAGGTCCCCCTTGAAAAGGGGATCTTGATTTCAGTGGAATTTCCTATTAAAATAAAATGTGATGTTTTCTGATTGAAATGAGAAGGTTAGATAGTAGGTTTAGATGATGTCACGTAGTTGCCCATGGTAGGCCTAAAACATTTAAAGAAAATCTAATTCATAACACCAAGTCAGTTTGTGTAAAATGAGCAAATTAAACCTAAATATGTGGAAGCGAGTTGTTTATATCTTTAAAAAAAAATTGCACAAATGTATATTGTAATTTTTGTTTGTGTGGACTTTGATTTTTTTCTTTTTCTTTTTTCATTTTGAAGGTGTTTCCTACGAACTTTCCAGGCCATACTGCAGAAAACAATCAAATGGAGTCCAGTATGTTTTTATCAAATAATTTCATCTAAAGCTACTTTTTTCAATATCACACATTATTTGTTCAATTTAAAGTACTCACATATGTACTTCTAGAATGCTGCATTGCCGTCTTATTTGTTTGGCTTTACAGACCCACGCAGAGTAAAAGAACAAGCCGGACTTGAAGCAGACAGACTCCGGATGGCCCATAAGGCCTTTGGTGACGGGATGTTACCTGAGCTAGAGTCTGCAGTTTACGAGGTACCCTGGGGCATACTTGTGTTTTAAAATACTGAGCTTGCTGAGTAAGTCAAATAGTAGTTGAATGCCAAAATTGAAAACAAAGGTCAAAACTCTGCGTCTCACTATGTTTGTTTATAGATGCAAAAGTTCAGCATCACTCTGTGCTGTGATCATCTGAATTATGCCTCTGTGTTTATCTTTCTTGAGCTGGAGACAAAATTTAATGGCCATGCCAACGGGACCATGACAGATCGGGAGCAGCCCTTCAGATGTGTTGTCAAATTTACCAGCACCAACCTCCTGGAGTCACTAAGACAGTGTGCATCCTCAGGTATTAAGACTTTGTTAGCCACAGCACTGAATGAAATTATTTGTATGTTAGAAAGGAGATGATATCAACACTAACTCAGTAACTGTAAATAAGACTGAACATTTTCATACTGCTACCAACTCCATAAATGACCACAAAGGGGTCTTGTACCTCTGTCCCTGAACCTGCTGTTACTGGAGAACTTTGGCACATTCACACAAACTGGTGAAAACCACAGTAACAGGTAGAGAGAGATTTCCTGTCAAAGACAAGATAAATGCATCCTCTTTCCCATAAAGGTCTCCAAATGTTCTTCAGTTGTATTTTGTTTCTCTTGTAGTTTCACCCATCCAGGAAATATGCAAGAGCCAAAAATTAGGTGTTTGTGTTCTTTGCTTCTGTCATTATTAAGCATCTTGGGCAGGCAAACTCAATCTAGAGTCATTGGACTCTACCCTTGAGTTTTCTGCTGGTATGATTGTTGAACAACATGTCCAGACAAATAGCTGTGATTAGCAATCATGTTGTACATTTATTTTCTTTTACTATTTCAGTTAATTGAATGTATTTTTATATTCTGCAGGAATTGTCTCTACTGTCACACCTCTGTTCTCATCTATTCCCCGGAGTGGAAAGAATTATTTTGTCATCACAAACAAAAGTCATGGTTCCTCCTCAAAAACCTCTAACATCACAGAGCCACAGATTCTTGATTCAAAGGACTGATGATGTCCTATTGTCACTTCTGATATGCGCAGTCCATCGATGCCATGCTTAGACTTATCTATCATTGACAGCTCCCTGGATTTCAGTTCATGTACTCTCTTTATCAGTAGTTGGTAAATGCCTTTTTTTTTTTTTTTTAATCTTCTGTCTGAACATTTATGCCTTCAAATATGTCCAAAATAAATTTAGAAGCAATATATGCAGTACTTTTGGTGTTTGTAATTTTGCCCTCCTGATGTCTTTTTGGCCCACAAAATAGTTCCATCTTTTTCAGTATTTTTCATTACCTGTACTGTTGCAAAGAGGTCTTCTGGTGGTGTGCTTCAATGTACCACGTTGTCGTCACAAGTTGATATTTTTATTTGAAGGATAGATTCATTATTTTAACAAGTCTGTCATAAAACAATCCTGAGGTACCCATACGAACTGTGAAGGTGGTTTCTTTTGTTCGTACTGGTAGAGACAGTTAGCTGCTCTACATCCATAGTAATGTGAAGTGCAGCACTTGCGGTTTGTCAAGGTCTTTTTGCTACACAAAAGGTGTCCACTAGATGTCAGTAGTAATAATGAACTCTTCATGAACTGAACCTTTTGGTTAAACTATTCACTTTTGGTTGTAATTTGTTTAATAGTCGTGTTCAAGCATGCCATAGCCAGTGAATTGATACTGATGTAAGACTATCATTTGTTTATATATCTGCTGTCTTGATTTGTATATATTTTTCTCTTGTGCATCAACCCCCACACAAGCATGGAAAGACAAAAGCTTAAGTTCAGTGATTGAAGCCAAGTACTCAGATTGTTTACTTAAAGAAAAGTATCAATACCACAGTGCAAGAAACAGGTCCTGCATTCAAAATCAAGTAAGTGTTAGGCAGAATGGCACAGTTCACATTAATGCATATCATATAATTGGACTATAAATATTATTAAATATGTAAATATCATATTTAATGTTGCAGCTGGTAAAGGTGATGTAATGTTTAACTACCTTACAATTTGAAGTACTTTACATACTACTGGATAATGTGAATTTCCCACCAGGGACCAATAAAGTCATGCATTTTGTTTTCTTAATCTCATTCTGGCAAGTAAATGGTAACTAAAGTTATTAAATAAATGTAATGAGTAAAAGGTGCAAAACATTTTCCTGAAATGTGGTGAAATCAAAGTATGAGGTAGCAGAAAATGAAAATACTAAGGTACTCATACCTCTAAACTGTACTTCCCACCTCTGCCTAAGTCAGTGGTTCTCAAACATTTTTTGTCATTCCCCACTTGAGAGGGTGGGCGAATTTTCCCCTTGTCCAAAAAAAAAAAAAAAACGAAATCGGCCAATTTTTACATTTCAAATGTATTGAAATATCAAATAACACCAAGTTCAAAACAGATTAAATATATGTGCAACTGTTTCGTTTGACAGGAGCATAGTTTTCAATTTTGCAGCACTTGTCTCATCCAGCATAATCGACACCATGTCTACAACAGCAGGGAGAATGAGCTGCTCAGCAATTGTGTATGATTTTTGTACTGTGCAATTCTGTATGCAACTTTGAAGGAAGCCATTTGTGCTTTGCTGTCCACTGATGCAGATTTTACCATGCAATTTTCCGCTGACTGTATTCTGCCAGTCGAGTGGCTTATTAAAGTGACTGGGGTGTGTTGTCTCTAAATATCTTAATTTGTTGGGTCTCATGCTGTCTGCTGCCAGCGGTTTAAGACACAAGACACACATGGGTCCCTCCTCTGTCCCCACCATTCCCACCGTGAATCCAAGCGCAAGATAGGCTTCATCATATTTTCTTTTCAGCTGGCTTTTTGGTTGATAAGACTTACTGCCTGTCGTTTCTCTGTCTAGTTGCGCTGAATCGCCTACTTTTTTTGTGGCCCATGTAACAAATTTATCCACTTACGTTATTATGCCCACTACGTACACTATTGGACCTCTGTGTGAACGTTTCCTTATATTGTTGCGCGGCAGTTAACATGCCGACGTTAAACCGTTGTTCTTGCACTATGGTTCCACTTTTTTTCTCCTGGGCCCCGAACTGATGTTATTTTAATTTAGTCGTATTAATGACCCATTTCTAATTTTTTTTCCGTTCATTGCGCCCCACCTGTCATATCTTTATTCCCCACTAGTGGGGCGCGCCCAACACTTTGAGAAACACTGGCCTAAGTAAAAGGTAATACCCTTTTGAAAAACGGAAGTATGATGATTATCCCGGATGTGACGTTGGCGCCGCTGTCCTGCGGGAGAGGGAAAGGAGCCTTCCAGGCAAAGCTGAGGGATGTAGTTAACAACGTTTCATTCAACGCTGCTCCTGGGGCATTTTGCCAAAGCATGGACTGTCAACACAGAAACATGGCTGCCTCAGCAACGGGAATGACGAGTAACAGAGATAACGCCACTACAAACAGTCAGAAATGTCATGAAGAGTCTCTGTCGCATTCAGGGGAAATAATAAAACCTACCATCATGGAACTGACCAAAGAAGTGAGGACGAACATCCTCTGCACCGTGGAAGGATGTGGCAAGATTCTCCCCAACACACCTGCACTAAACATGCATCTCGTTAAGTCACACAGAATAAAGGTAACCTTAAGCGCTTACGAACATGGCCGATGTTCATATACTGCAGTCCTAATTTGGCTAACTAAGAATCGAGAAAACAAAACTGGAAATTTTAAGAAAGTTAACGCTAAGCTAACACGACATGGTAAGGATAGTTGTCAAACACGTTATAGTTAACGTTGGTTGAAAGTTTCTCTTTTCTTTGAGAGAAGCTCCTGAAGATCTAACGCTAGCTAGCTAGTTAAGTTTATCGTTAGCTAGCTAGCTACAGTGTAACCTTTACTACGTAACGTATTAACAGTTAAAAATTTGGATGGCACAACCTTTACTACGTAACGTATTAACAGTAAAAAATTTAGATGGCAAGTGGTTAGCGTTACTGTGCTTTTTATACCGATCTGCACCCTTATTGTGGACTGTTAGTAGTTGGGGGTAGGAATTATGGGATCTGACTTGGCTGTGTTAGGGTGTGAAGGGAGAATCGTTTTATCGGTGCATGGCACAGCTCTCTTCACTGTTGATTTTCTGATATACAGACTTTAACCAATACTAAGCAGGCAGCAAAGTGCAGTCCTCAAAGAATCTGGACCAAAGTCTTGTGTTCTCACTGAGTGGGCTTTTTCGTGGGAGGCAGTTATTCACTGTGTCCCCTCCATGAATGAAGTTCTTTGCTGGGAAAGCAGCTTTTTGTCCTGCAGTAGACTAAGTTCTTTGTTTAGAATAGGTGAATGTGAGAATTTGAATGAGCTCTCACAAATAGTCCATGTGGACCAGCTAGAAGAGTGTTTAAAGGCCCAACTGGCGGTTTTACCATATGCAGTCCATTTGAGATACAGATTGAACATGTCATTTTAATCTGCAGCAGTGTGAAATTTCCCTCAGCAGTGGTATGGCATGGTTGACATGATGACAGTGTTTAAATACTGGAATTGCAGTCACCTCTTTTGCATATTCATGAAGTCACACTGCAAGAATGAGGCACCGTGTGGGACACCATCTGTTTTATTGACTTTAGCACCACATCTACTGCATCATTGCACTGCAGTAATGCATTTTCTAACTGTTAATGTTTCTTACTGGGTAGCTGTTTCCTGGAGAACTTGTGCACTCAGTCCAGTTTAGACTCCTTTTATATGGCTAACATTGGCTTTGATTTAAGCTGTTTCTAGCCATATTATTTCTTTAGTAACAGAGTTAGACACTATTAACCTGATTTATCACTGGGAATTAACCTGTGCAGTGACTGCTTACTGACCCACTTGTAGCAAAGGCAGTGAATCTTGACTTTTCCTGCTTTTTGAGCTACAGTCAACCACTGACTTGTGACAGTATCTTATCAAGAATCAGCCCACATCCATATGGTACAGCTAAAGATACTCCAAAAGCACTACATGCCTTTCTGTTGGTTGCTCATATAAGAATGTATCATATTTTCTTTAACACTCACTGTAAGTTATGGTGCATATGGGTATCATCTAAACCTTAAATGTATCTTTCCTCTTTGTCCTCTGTCTTTGTTTTTCACTCTCATTGACATCCTCAGGATGGTATCGTCAATCCCACGGTCAGAAAGAACATGAAGGGCTCTCAGAAGCTTTACTGCTGTCCCATAGAGGGTTGTCCCAGGGGGCCTAACAGACCCTTCTCCCAGTTCTCATTGGTTAAACAAGTAAGTCTTTCCTCAATTAACCAGTAATTGTTTTCATGGCTTCAAGAACTATAAAAAAAGAAGTATTGAGGTTTCAGTTCAGTAGTTGTGCTCTAAATATAAGAGCATAGTGAAGTAATAGTGGTTAATCTTACCCAGTTAAATCAAACTGCAATAGTGTAAAATATTCCAAGGTCAAGATTTGCACTGTTAATATTTGTTCACCTCCCACCATTAGCAGCATTTTTTTCATCTGACCTCTGTTTTATCAAGGCCTGAAAAATGGACAAAAGTGTACTTGTTTCCCAACTTTGTCTGAATGACACAGTGGGCTTTAATTATCTTTAGCTCACTAGACCAAAAATATTCTTTGTTTTGGGTCTTGGTAGTAACCTATATAAAAAAACAAACAAACAAACAAACAAAAAAAAAAACCAAGAAGTCTAATGTGCTATATATTCTTTGCTCTTTAATCTCTTTTACTGTAGCATTTTATGAAGATGCATGCAGAGAAGAAACACAAGTGCTCAAAATGCAGTAATGGCTACAGCACAGAGTGGGACCTAAAGAGACACATAGAGGACTGTGGGAAAACCTACCACTGTACATGTGGCTGCCCTTATGCTAGCAGAGCTGCTTTGCTGTCACATATCTACAGGACAGGACATGAGATTCCTACAGAACACAGGCATGTACACACATAGAGAGAGTCGTTTTTATTCAAAGTGTGCTTTAGGTTTCATTTAACTGTCTTTCTCTGTATCCTTTTACAGAGTTCCTCCAGTTAAAAAGCGAAAGATGGAGAAACTGTTAAGAGGTTCTGAAAAGGTTAAGACTAATGAATCAACCTGTCAGATCATGCCTGGTGGTAAAGATCTGACAGATAATGCTTTCCCTTCTCATACAACTGTTTGTATCCCAGACTCAGTGAATCAGAACTCCAGTCCCCATAAGAGCCTCCAGAAATTGCTCCTACCAAAGCCCAAGATAGCTTTGGTCAGTGTTCCTGTGATGCAGCTTGCCCACCTGCCTGTCCTCTTTCCATCCACAGAAAGTGGGGCTCTGAGGTCTGTAGTGCTGGCAGTAGACAGCCAAGGCTCTGTCAGCACCCTTCACCTCCTGCCACAAGCCACAGGTGCAGTGGTACCCCAACTTGATGCTAAGGGTTTAGGTTCCAATGAAAGCATGCCTGCTTCCCGCTCTAGCCTGGGGCCCATTAGCACAAGGGTCCAGGTCATTCTGGATCCTGCTGGTGCAGAGGACTCACCCAGCAGCCTGGTAGGACAACGGGGAAGAAGCGCCTCCACCAACATTCAGACAGACAAATCATATTTGTCAAAAATGCCCACACAGCTGGGGATTGGAGAGGGAATAGGTTTATGTCCTGTGAGTGTGTCATCCTGCTCCCAAACAGACATCAGTGTGAGTGCCCAAGTCCTCCTGCCGGTCAGTGTTGAAACCCAGACATTTTCCTCCCGAGTGAAAGCCACATCCTCTATTGGAGCTCAGACAGACAGCCAATGCCTGAGCCATATTCTTTGCTCCTCCTCATCTGTGCCCCCATACAGAACCAGGCAGACACAGACATACTTTGCCATGCCACAATCAGAGGAGAAGGCTCAGGACCAGGTTATCATGTGCTCTGACCTATTTGGCAGTGACTCCTTGAGTGTCTCCACTCAGACAGCTCTGGACATAGATGACACACTCACTGCTGCAGGAAGCATGTATGAGGACTCAAAGTCAGCAGGCGGTATGTGTTTTGGTGTGCAGACAGATGAGCTCAACTCAAACAACATGGCAGACAACCAGACCCAAACAATGACCTTGCTAAATGACTTGGAAAACATTCTATCTGACAGTATGTCAGGCCACCAGGTGCTCACTGAGACCTCTGTAGGCTGTGGCACAGGTCTAGGCTCTGTTCAGGAGCAACATAATGGTATAGACTTTGATTTTGAAGAGTTCCTCAATGCTGTGCACATCCAGACACAGACCGAAGAGAGTGAGCTGGGAGGACTGGACAGTGAGACTCCACTGGAGTCTCTGGACATCCAGACCCAGACAGACTTCCTCTTGATGGATGAATTGGAACAAAGTGAGGGACCAAGTCGATCCCATGCCAGTGACCTGGAGCTATTTGACACTCAAACTCAGACTGACCTCAATTTCCTGTTGAACGCTGGAAGTCACATGCCCCTGAGCAGCATCCTGCGACATTCCAGCTTTTCTATGAGCACTGAGTCCTCAGATACAGAAACACAGACAGATCTCCCATCATTTGCCACAGGCCTTTCTTCTCAAACCCCTGTCACTCAGGGGGAGCACACAAGGCTGCTAAACAGCACAGAGACTCAAACTGTGACCAGCCAGGCAGAAGGCCTGGGACACCTCTTCCTGACCAGCAATGAAACACAAACTGTCATGGATGACTTCTTGTCAGCAGACCTTGCATGGAATATGGATTCCCATTTCAGCTCAGTGGAAACCCAGACATGTGCGGAGCTTTTTCAGTGCGCTTTTTCAGCACCCTGAAAAACCCCACAGCTGGAGCCCTCTCAACGAAGCTGCCTGTTCATTTGCATTACAGGTTTCTGATATCTGCCTCCTCCTATAAGGAATCGGTCTATGCCGTCCTCCGGAAGACCATAGTCTTATCAGTAAGAAATCTGCGAATATGTCTGAACATTCCACTTGAGGCACCATGTGTAGAGCCTTTGCAGGTACATAATGTATCCTGACTGCTCCGCTGCACTTTATTAGCTCAGTGGGCATTGTTTAGCTCCTCTGACTGTTTACATATTTATTTGCACACAAATTAACATATTGTATATGTGTCTTGTCTGAAATGCCAGCTTACTTCTATATTTCAGTGTATAATCACTGTGACTGGTTTCCACTTTTTGGTCTTACTAGTAGTTTAAAAATGACCCAACATTTTATCAATAGTAGATGTGCACTTATGAGCAATGATAGCTTTGGCTGTGCGTGGCTGTCAGGAAAGGGCTTGTAAAATTGCTAAGCTGTATAACGGCTTTCAGCTATGCACATTCTGCATGAAAACTGTCATCTCAGCTTTACAGTGTACAATATTGAACATTTAGTTTATGCTTGAAATGTGTGTGAAGCTTCGGTCAGCAGCATAGAAACATCTCAGCTTGTGCATCTTATGGCTGCCTCTTTAATGTTGCCTCATGAGCAACAGCAAGATGATAAACTCTGGTTTAGATCTTACCAGCTTTGCAGCTGATGGGAAAGCTTGACCAGTGGGTATCAGTTTTGTGTTTTCTAAAATAAAATCCTGTAAAGCCTTCAACAGTGAGCACGACATTGCTCAGAGCTGTTAAGATGTATCTCTGAAACCGTTACTCATGCAGATGTGGCAGAAGTCCAGTATAAATGAAATGCTTGTCTTATGATTGGTTGCACGTCTTTATTTGAAATGTTATTGTGAATTAAGATGTTAACATTTTTTGTGTGATGGTCTCTATCGCTAAGCAGTAAGTTCAAGTCAGTAAGCAGACTAAGCTGTTATTGTCCGATTTATTCATCAGCTGAGTGTATACAGTGGCAGTACTCTATGCTGTTCTAGTAATGTTACTCTGCTGAAACACACAAGGAGTAGAGCTAGGATTAGAACAGAGTTAATGTATGTATTTGCCACCTGATTTTGACAACAAGGTATTGTGTTGAATATCTTCTTTTAAAATCATCAGTTTTCACTTTTAAATTTGGGTATAGTATTTCATGTTTTTCTCATTCCCAAAGGACTGAACTTCATATTTTAATTCAGTTTTTTCTTATAATGTTGCACTGAGTTACCTCATTAAGCACAGGCATGGCATATACAGTCTGTTTTGTTGTTTGTTTGTTTTGTTTTTTTAAGTTGGCGCCTTAACTGAAGTATTAATTTTAGTTTTGTTACACATAATTTGCTGCTCTGAGAAAATATTTATCAGACTTCTTCTGGAAAATGATATTGACAAGAAAAGAACTCTTTCAGTCTTTACTTTGTATCTTTAATTCATTCTGTATTTGTACTGTATTTTCATTATGGTCGCAAAGATTTATGTTGTCACTTGAAAATAATGCTATGCAGCAGTTTAAAAGATTTGCTTGCCGCCATCCCACTATTTTTATGGACAGGGGGTTACAGCTGTTAAAGGTTTTTTAGAAACTGAAGAATGTCCAGAACATGACACTGTGCCCAAGTTTAACATGCTCAATTTTTTTGCAGCCATGTCCAGTTTAAGGATAATTTCCTTGTATAATAAGGATTTTTACACATATTAAATTTCAACATTTCTTGATTTGAGATCAGTACTTCTAGTTTGCAGTTCAGTTACATCATAGCTGCTCCCTGCTTGTCTAGTTTCAGGGAAAATGGCTTGCTTAAAACAGAACAGTGTGTAGCAGCCTTGGCAGTTGCACTTCCACTGGAAGTGCCAGTTACAGTGCTTTATTTCTTCTGTGTAGGGAGTGCATGCAGATCTTTTTCCAGCACAAAATATTTGTTGTAGCTCAATTTGAGTTTCTTCTGCCTATGTATGTAGAGTTAATGGTTGCCTTGATTAATTGTTGAAGCTACACTACAAATGGTCTTAATAAACTGCTGGAGAGTATATGTTGTGTTGTCTGTTATTAGAGAACAAAGGAGGAGAAAGAAAACTAAATGTAACCTCAAATGGTGCCCAAAAAATATGAAAAGGATTCACACACTCCCATCAGTCAGAAATCCTCCTCTGCTTCAGAACAGGAAAATAATTATGCACAGATGTTTAGATGATGCCTTCTTCAATGTACAATGCATTTTTTTCTCATGTGGGAAAGAGACCGAAATTATTGAAGTAATTTTTTCTTTCATCTTTTCACATTACTGCATTTACATCAATACAGATAAAGCATAATTAAATAGTTCCCCTCTAAACATAAAAATGGGCAATATACAGTATCTAAAAGATCACCATTGTGACTGATGCAAAGATTTCATAATTTAAATGTATTCAACATGCCTAATAACGGATTTGTCACTAACTGTGAGAGAAATCAGTCAACTTTGCTCAGATGAAGGTTTGTATAAATGAGCACACAAAATACAAACAATATTCTAGAGCATGTATTCCTGTTGTGATTTTTTTTTTTTACTGGGAATTGCTCCTCTACCTGTCTTTCAAAATTCTCCACAGGTGGTTGTAACAAAGAAAGATTAAGAGATCGGGGAACTGGAGAAGAGGACTGAGAACCTGGACCAATACACCAAGATGGAAGATGTTATCATAACTAGATTGGAGACCAGGCATCAAACATATGCTAGAGCAGCAGCCGGAGAAGAGGATGGAGGAGATGGACCTCAAGGAGAACTACAGTCTCTGGAAAAGCAGGTGATTTAATTTTTTGCTATCAAAGACATGACTACAGAGTAACATGATGGTGGCTTGCCATATGCTTCCACACAAAAACAAAAAAATAGATCTGCATTAATTTTCAGACTCTCAAATAGGAAATATAATAATCTGATCTTCTGCAACAAGCCAGGGATTTGCTTGGCAAGCATATATTCTAAAAAGAGAAAATTCAAGCAACCTGGACATGAAATTGTAAAGTTTGGTTCAAGTTAAAATGGAACTTCTGAGGACGCTAAAGTGACCGTGGTGAGAAAACTATCTGAACTGGTCAATGCAGGTAAGGTGGCTAAATGGGAGACAAATGCTGAATTGATCAGAAGCATGATTTTACAACTTACTGAAAGAAAAGAAGAAACTAATCTAAACTAACCATACTTGTCCACTCCCTTTAACCTTGTTCTTCCGTAAGAATGCAGCATTGACCATGGAAGAATGTTTAGGGTCATTGACGTGTTGACAAAGTGCCCACAACCCAGGGTTTGAAGTAAGGACAGCATGTACTCTTTCAGAATGTTGCAGTGATCTGGATATAGCGACTCGTTACAAATCACTTCAGTGTAAACCTTCCATATGCACAATCATGTAAGGCAAGTGTTTAGCCTATTTAGTACTGTAACACTTTAGAATAAATCATTTTACTTGGGAGCTAAACAACAAAGAGGCAGTATAATAAAGCAAAGTAACATCATTCCAGTTGAAATACTCTTACAGTAGTAATCGGCTGGCATTTGGAGATCAACATGACACACTATGTTTAAGCATAATACTGCACTGATTGCCTCTGTATGCTAAATAATAACACAAACCCCGTCCTCCAGCAGAACTATAGCTTGTAGTTGTTTTTAAAAGGAAGACGCGTGAAACAGATACACATTCGTGCTTCTTATGAGGTAGCTGCACTGTTGCTAGGTAACTAGAACAGCAGAAAAAGCACTTGTGGGAACTGGACAGAACAAGATAAAGGCCCAAGTGACAAGCAGAGAGCTTAACATTTCAATCTTCATTTGACTGTTTGTATGGTCTGAAATGCTATGCCTAACTAAGCACTAAGCCAAATGAATTACCTCTGCATGCCTATAAGTTCATTCTGTAAACGTCCCATACATTGAATGTGTTCTTTCAGTTGACTGTTTTAATGGAAACACTGTGTGATGCAGTGAGGATGAGGTATACATACAAAATAAGATTAAGCAGGTTATTTTACTCAGTGGAACTTGAGAGTTGTTGGCCAACCTGAGTGTCGTCACCTATCATGTTGAACATTTATTTCACAGGCCACATCCAGCTTGATAGCATCCACATTATTGTTTTTTAAGAGGACAGGCAGCTGGTGTGCATATTGACATTGGCTGCAGTGCTACAGTGGAGGGCCTCTGTGAGACTCTTGCCCATGAAGACGCTAGTGCGGTCCACCATAATAGGCTTGGAAGATACGAGTGCCTGATAGTTCCTGGGCACAGAATCACTTAGAGCAGAGAACAAGTGGAGGTCATCCTGACATGTCCAGTACTTGGAGGTCAGAGCTGCAGAATAAGAGGAAAGCCCTGTGTTAGGAACATGGTCCACTTTTGTTCCCAGTGTCCCATTCTTCTTATCAAAATCGAAACAATTTCCAGCCAAAGATTCTCCTTCTGGCGCTTTCTTGCAAATGCAGAGCTGGCCACCGTCTTTAAGATTCAGGTGTGGTGATTTGATTGGTGGTAAAAATGTAATGTTTTTAATGGGAACCAGTGCACTATTGGGCCTTTGGCTGTATTTCTGAGGCTTAGTGGGCCTGTTCTCTGACATGGAGTAGTTTGAGGACAGATGGTGAAGCTGCAAAGGAGTGTCCCTGCGCGTCCCTTCTTCCTCTGTCTTTTTGTTAAGAAAGCGCTTTGACTCAATTTTCTGCATGACACTGAGGACAGACCACTGTGATGTATCTGGCTGCAAAGCTGCCACAGCAGCATTATGACAAGATCCCATCTGTTGGTTTAATAGAGTAGATTTCTTAAAGCTGTTAGAAGGGCCTGCATGTGACTCCCAGCGGCGCTCTGCAATGCTGGCTGAGCGGTCTGTATTAGGGAGTGGTGGGTCAACAGGCAAGGGGGCCATGTTGTCAGCCTCCTTATGCTTTGCTTTTCTGTATCTCTTCTGTGTCAAAAGTATGCAGCTCAGTGGAGCAACTCTGGCCCAGCCCCGGACCTTTAAAATGAAATATGTGAACAACAGATTTAACAGGTTTTAATTAATAACAGTATGTAATAATGAATAAGTTTGATACATTGGAATAAGAAGATATTAACTTACAGCTTCTTCCCGACCAGAGTAACAATGATACTCATATGGCTCCTGTTCTTTCAATAAATCCTCCTCACTAATATCTAGAAGAGCATCAACATGTCTTCTTTCCAGTGTCTCATAAGGCTGCTCCCCAAATACATCTCCCTGTGCTGGAAGCTCCATGTCTGATCCTTTCGCAGCTGTGTGATCTACTTCTTTCAGAGTCGCCATTACTTAATTAGGTAGGCATTGGTGAGATCTAGAAGTGGACATTAAAAATAGAAATAGCCTATAAAATGTATATCGTTTACTTTAATTCAAGTGACACAGGCAGTTTTGCTTTAAACATTAGCTAGAAACCTTGAAAATAAATGTTAGGCAGGTTTGTTTGTTAAACCCAGTCACTCACCAGAATGAAGCAGGGTGAGTCCCTGTTGTGTTTTGAACGGCTTTGCATTACTGTTTACATATCGGAAAGCCCCATTCACAGAGAACTGCTGCTATATTTTGAGCTAGTGTTTTGTTTTTCCTGCCTTCAGAGACGAGCTACAACGCCGTCGTCATGGCAACAGAAAATCTCGCCGGAAACATGACGTAAGGAAAAGGGGCGGACTGTGTGCGTGTTGCTGCAGGTCTGTCTAGAGTCCGTCTGTCTCTAGATTAATTACTACACTTCTCTTTTGCAGTATGTCTTAATTTATCCACTGTGTAACCGGTGAAGCACACACCAACCGAGCAGAATAAAACTGAAATGTATAGCCTATGAAGTCCCGCCACATCTCAAAAATTCCCCAAATGCAATTGAAATGTATTTAATTATTTTTTGTGGGTTATCTGTGTAATTATAATAGTCGTTCCATAATCTAAAAAGGAGGAAGTCGGTTTATAACTCGTGACGGAAGAAAGGAAACCATTTTGGTGGTTGACTGCAACGTTCAGTTTGGCACGTATGACTACAGCAGACGAACACTGCCTCACGGAGGTTCAAGTCAGCTGTGAGAACGCACTGTATGCGTGTGGCGTGAAAACGGGATGGAACGATGGTCGCTTTGAAGAGGAAGGTATTCCTATTTTATTCGTTTTATAATGAGAAGGCAGTGAGATTAATTTCATACACTGAAATTTAAAGTGCGTCGAAGCAAACACTTAGCTGGCGCACAGCAACACCTTGGTTTATTGGTCCAGGAAGGAAAGTGTCAGCTTCTGACGCAACCGGAGCACCTATCCGCAAGGGGGACACTAACACCTGACGTCTCCATCTCCTGGCCGGTCTTTCCCATCACGACTACTTTCGTTCTGCAGTGCAGGGACTGCTGCGTTTTATGGAAGCGGAGTCTGTGCAGCCTGTCGTGGTCATGCTGCCCCCAAAGAATTGCCTGCCGAGGAACTACAGCTGTATAGCTGGACTGTTCGGAAGCCTGGCAGCGGCAAACCCACGACTTGAAGATTCGGATGAATGTGACATGATGAACGGTACCTGTGAGCCGATCGAGAGCCCCGTGGTGGATGAGAGACCACGGGGCAGAGAGATACTTCTGAAGCCTCCACAGAGTCCAAACCTGCGGCGGAGATGCAAGTCGCTGCCCACACCTTCGGAGAGAGCCAAGTTAGAAATCTCCCGCAGCAGAAGCCCAACCAGTCAAAAGAAAGTCCGCTTCGCCGACTCCCTGGGCCTAGAGCTCATTTCAGTGAAACATTTCGATGACACAGATGTGCCAGAGGTCCCGGAGCGCATATTGGCAAAACTACCCAAAGGACACCCCCATCTTAACCACTTGGACACAAAATTCCCCCGGGCTCCTGCGCAGTCTGTGTTCATGGAGTTGGAGTTCACCAACCCAGGCACGTTACCCGGTTTTGAGCAGAAAGTGAGGGAGGTGAAAGTCCTACTGGAGACCGTTCAGGCAGACGAATTCAGCCTCTCCGGATTTGTGCGTGTATTGAATCTGGCTTTCGAAAAGAGCGTCTCTTTGCGGTATTCTCTAAACAACTGGATAACATTTATGGACAGTTTGGCGTCCTATGTTCCCAACTCAAACGACGGTGTCACCGATAAGTTCTGTTTCAAGATCGTCATGCCCACGTACCTCGACAACGGAGGTACATTGCAGTTTGCAATCAAATACTGTGTCGGCGGGCAAGAGTTCTGGGATAACAATGACGGGAACAACTACAAAGTGCGCCATCACCGGTTCAAGATGTCTCCACCTCGGGAATGGGAGAACGGGTGGATTCACTTTATCTGACCTACGTTGTCTGCAGTGGCGCACTTGTGTGCGCAATTTGCGTGTAATTTATCCCTGGGTACCTTAATTATGACTGCAGCCTGTTTAGAATGATTTGTTTTCTGAAATTGTCAGCTACACACATGCTGTGACACAGAAAATAATTTCCCACAATATTTCAACTATTTGCCCCGCTGTGGCGACAGATTGAGCGATAAAACCAGGTGCAAGCCTTTGATAGCTGCCTGGCGTGGGATGCTGTTAGATAATTTGCCTTGATGTCAAGGCTCTGTACAGCTTGGTGCCCTTTGGGAGGGTATGTTCAAATTATGTAATGTAAAAACACGTGCCACGGAAAACGTGCCGGGGTAATATCGACTTCAGGCATCACGCTCATTTGAGGAGATGCAGTGAATTGGCTAAATGGGAAGCAGGAAGCATCACATCTTGGCTGATGTAGAAGCCAAGCGAACCCAGTAGCATACTCCTTGAGTGGTTTCCTGCAGGCTGGGGAATAAACGCACATGATGACTCACTAAGCTGACAGTCAGACCTCTGAGAAAGGGTATTTTATTCAAAAAGAAACAAAACAAACAAGACTATGTATAATTTCCCAATCATACCATTGGAAAAATGCCTTATTTTAAGCCATGGTGTAGGAAGTTGTGCATTGAACATTGTACAGTATTTTCTTCATTTAGCTTGAATAGATTAAATGCATTAGATGGTTATCATCATCATTAAACATACATTTTAATAAGACCTATAGGCACTGGGAATTACTCTCCATTTACCTTTAGGCTTCCAAACCAGGGACTCAATACTCCATTATAAACTTGCCTTTAGCCATATATTCGCACCTAGTCAACACACACTGTATATTCTTTGCTGCATTCATGTAACAGGATCAAAAAGGTCTAACCAAAGTCCAGAGACAATTAACTCAAAGAAATTGTCTCTAGGAAAAACATCCTCAAATTATACCTGCAACATGCATGGCCTTCTCTGTCAAATCATAAAGGCTATGTTTATAAAGAATGGGTTTTTAACAGGTTACGTTTATCTGAAATTACTTGTGGACCTTTACTCTTCTTCAGGTTGTGTGACAGATCAGATGTTATTTTCAAAGGAATTATTTTCTAACAGATACAGTCAAACTGAAAAAAGGATTATTGTACATTTAAAATTTTAAAACACAGAGTTTATTAATTTCTATTGTTTGTGATTACATACTCGAACTTTTCAGAGAGCAGCAGCATCTGTAGACAAAAAATGTAATAGGTAACTGTTTTCTGCTTTTGTAAAAGTACATACATGATGGTCATCTTTGCTCCTTGCACTTCTTACACATGACCAAAATGATCTGAACCGCCTGAACTGATGTCTGATTGTTTCATTTCCATACCATGTTCCTTGACTGATGTTATACATCTCGTCTTCCCCCACAAATAGCAGCTTATGTTACATTAATATATTTTGATTAACTCACTGGTGAATAATCCGTCCATTATGCTCCTGAACATGTACTCAGTTGTTATACCTATCAGGGTTGTATGTCATTGGCAAATGTGCTTCCTTAAAAGCAGCTGTGCATCATGCTTCTTTTAAATTGTGTGATAACGATGTTTGTGAGTGTTCAGCAACAACAGGAAATACAAGCAGGATGCTTTTAAATACAGTGCACTGACTGTAATGTAAACATCGCTCTGGCCTTAGTTTACATCACCATGGCCTCAGAGGGAAGCTCTTCATTTAATGAGACCATCAGGTTGGGATGAGGATACAGACTATTCCTGTAACCACTTAGTTTTTGGAGCAGTTCCAGTGTGTATCTATTGTTAATGTTTCTCTCAAAATCTGACATGGTTTGTGTTACTGCAGTGCTATACAGTACCTGGTGTTATTAGATTAGTTTTGCTGAAATGAGAGATGTCCAGCAGATAGTTGATTTGGTACCACTCAGCTTAGCTTTATCATGTGCAGAGCTTTCTCTTTAAATACACTGTGGATATAATAGGTCTGGTCATGGTAGAGATTAGTGTTGTTTTTATTGTTAAATCAGTGGGTATTAGCTTATTGTCTGCTTTGTTCTATGCAAACTTTGTTCAAGCATCCATGTAGTGCAATAACAGGAAGCATTAATTATCCAGGTGGGGACTACTGATGTGGGTACAGAGAGATGCATCAATTTCAGTTGATCAACGCCAACACAGATTGTGATTTTAATATTTTACTGATATCTGATCAGATTTGCTCTGATAGGCAACAATATAGTTTGGGGTTTGCTTGATGCAAATTACTGTCTGAATATGATGCTTTCTCTGTTTTCTATCACATGTAATTCTTTGGTTTTTAAAAAAAAGTGTAAAAACTGTAAGATACCAGTGCTCAGTTTTAGCCTGGCATCGCCCACACTGCTGTTGTTACTGATGCATTGCTACCATAAAGGAAGCGAAGGGCTTCTGGTCTGACTAGGCTTTCACCTCAGTGTGTATACTGTATAGATATGTATATAAATGTGTTAATGTCTTCCTCTTACTGTTCTGTGTTGTGTGTATTTGGAAACATTTTAAAGTGTAATTGAGTGATGCCGGTGATAAAAGTTTATGGGATGATCTAGCAAAGCTGGAAGAGAAAATATGAACCGAAACATAGTGAATTCCTAAAAGCACAGTTTTTAATTAAAGCTTTCTTCAGGGCCTTTTAAAATAAGGCTGGTGATAGATTTAGAAATACCACAAACTGTAATATTTTGTCTCAAATTATGGTTTACATAACCGTAATATATTGTAGAATTATCTCTAAAATATATATACCTAAATGTGAGCAGTGTATAAGTGAAATATATTGGAAACCCTGTGTGCAAAACCATAGGTGTACAATACGTCTGAGTTTACTTAGAGACATGTAGGAGAGGTATAAAGGGCACGTGGTTGTGTGTTAAGAAATAAAGAGATTGCAGAATATGTGACCTCTGGACAATGACAAGGGATTTATCTGGGCAAGATGAGATGCACTTTGGTATCTCATAACATTTGGCATGAGTGACTAATGATTGAAGCTGATACTGATCAGACTCAGTCAAAGCAGTCTATACACTTAAGAATGAGAACAAGGAATGTGTCCTGGTATGTAACTGAAAGCCTCTGTGCTACTAACCAAGATATTCCTCTCTTTTTTCCATATTTCACATCTCCTTTTTGTCACAGTGGCAGCTTAAATATTTTCTAATTTATAGCCATTGTATGGCATTGGATTTATTTCTTGGTTTGCTTTCTAGTCAGCGAGTTATTTTAATTTTATGCAAATCCTATGCATGTCTTATATGTTGTTACATCTGCGGTCATCTGACTGTTAATCTGTTCTGTGAGCTATTTTTTTCTGATTTTGCAGTGAATATTAACCATGTTTGCATATACGGCAGCAACATACCTTTATTTATGCTTAGTTCTTAATGTAATCCACATTTTGTTAAAACACTGCTTAATAAAGGCATCTGCTGTAGAAACCTAGCATCTTGTCAATACTTTAAGCTCACAATCTGCCAGTGTAATCTTTATACTGTAGTCTTTTATTCAGTCTCTCTCTACTTATGAACATTGAATACAATCTGTTGCACAATCATGTAATCCTAGGTATTGTTTCAAAATGTCGTGTCATAGAGTCTAGCAAACCTCCACAGTATCTGTTATTATCATATAAAATATTACTATGCTGTGTGTGACTGCAGAGCTGTGCATGTTTATCGTCTCAAGATGTCTTACTATTAGATCAGCTAATGAATGGGCTCCTGCTCCTCCCCATTCATAAACTAGCACACTGCGGTGGGGTGCACTATAGTCATCGCCATTGTAGAAATGGCTGTGGACATGTCCTTGAATCAATTACAGACTGACGCCCCACCCCCAGTGCTTCTGAAAGGGAGGGGATGGAGCTTGAAGCAGAGAGAGGTGCAGCACGAGCTGGGCAAAGGTAGAATAAACAGATAATGAAAGAGCATGTAAAAGATAATAACACGGCATGTTTGACCTTTTCCACTCTTTGTCACACTCCCTCAGAAACCAGAGTATTTCCTCACGGCTCAGACAGTTAGTGCAGCTATTTAACTGCAGAGGTAATGCAGATGCTTGTGTAGCTTTCCTGTAATCAGCTGTTTAAAGCCTAGCAGAGAATTTATATGAAGAACATCTGTTCTTTAAAATTGTGTCAAACATACTGTATATTCAGTCTGAACATTATAACACATCCCAAACAGTTTATCCCCATGCTTAGATTCATAGCTTGTTAGTGCTACAAATGTATTTAAATTAGACATTTTCTCTGCAGTTTATGTTGTAAACTATTCTGGTTAACAAATACCAAATAAAATCAATCACTTTGATTTTAAGTGTCAAACCAGCCTTTTCTCTGAATAGCACTGGAAAACCTTAAATGATAAAGAGTAAGTCCACTGGCATGCGGTTAAGTAAAGCCTGAGTCTAGAGTTCATCAACAAAACCTCCAGTTCTGTCATTAAATTAATTAAATAGATGATAATGGCACTATCATATAATAGGTCCTTCTCATTTTCTTTGAGCAGCAATATACTAATGTTAGGATTGGATTTCAGGAGTTAAAGTTATTTTTCTACTTATCAGTATTATTTTGCTTTTATAATGGAAAAGTTCAGTGTGACTATTTGTCTGTGTTTCATTAACAGCTCCATGTATCAGTATTAACCAGCTGTTATGCATGCATCATAGTCATAATATTCAGCTTTGAGTCAACTAGTAGTATTTCTTGTCTTCTTGGTGAAATGTGCATAAATTGATTGCAGAGATAAGTGTCATCCTGGAAACTATAGATAAGATGCTAAACACACACACACACACACACACACACACACGCTGCTTATTTGAACATTCTAGAATATTTGCATGAACCTTGTATGAACCTTGTGTCCAGTTCATGTTGTAAATGTAGAGCCAACAGATTAGAAGATAATATGAGTTCATATCTGTATGAACCTTGTGTCCAGTTCATGTTGTGAGTGTTGAGCCAACAGATTAGAAGATAATATGAGTTTCCACCCATGTACAGGGCAGTCCCAGCCCGAGAAGATAAATGTGAATTACTTCCTATTCCTATCAGTGCTCTTGGAGACTTGTCATCTCATAGAGCCCAGTGCTGTAATAACTCTGCATTTAACCAGAAGAAAATAAATCTACGTAAAGCTGATTCCTGTCTCCTGAGTGTTACTTCTTGGGGCCTTCAGATAAAAGAACCGGCTGTAGTTAAAACTAATAAATTAAGTGTTCTTAAATTAAAGCTCTATGTGTTTGTGTGCATAGCAGGTATTAAGCTGTACATGTTGTGCAGGTGGTGTACTGGGGGGCTTTGTTATCAGATTTGGAACGCAATCCTGCAGAATCTTTTTGCAAACTCTAAAAAGGCAGTGATGACTGAGCTATGTTGAACCACAGCCAGAGAAAGTTCAGTTGAACTTTGTTTACTTATATTTGAGGCATCCTGACAATCTGTAGCTGCTCTGCTTGCTTAATGCTTTCAGCAGCCAGTCAGTGTGAATCCATATGACCAATCAATAAAAACCTGCTGAGAGGTTCTAATTTAATTCGATGATCACAGCTACTCAGCAGCTTATTTCAAGTGGAAAATCACACAGTTCCCCAAAATACATATAAAGGGACATTAAAACCTCCAGTGTTAGTGAGTAGTGATGCGGGAAATTAAGACATGCACAGTTTGACTGCAGTGTGGCACATTTGTCTTGTCTGGCTTTTATTTGACTGTTAATTTTACAGCAAAGTCTACTTTTGGCATGAGTGTGTATCCAGTCACTAGGTCACACCGTATGTATCAGCAAAATGCATGTATTTATGTTATTGTATGCTATGTGTAATTTGGAAGCAGTGGTACTGGGGCAATATTGTGACACTGTGTAACACCACCTGCTTGTATAATTACTGTGTTCATGCAGTCATGGTGCTCTGATTGTTCTCTCCTTCAGGTGTTTGACATGACCAAACCACAACACACCCACAGCCACTTTCAGTCCACCTGTGCAGCTCATCCAAAGCGTGTCCTTTGGCTTCAATAACGTGGCCAAATTGATGCACACAAATAGATCAAATGATTTCATTTCAATAATTGATGCATTTAAAAAATGCTGTTTGATATGATTAATCCTGACTCAGCAGCAGCCAGGACATCGGTGTACAGGTCAGCCACGTTGTCTAAGTGAGCACTGGACCTGAATAATTCATTGGCAAAATTTCCCTCTATAACTCTGGAGAATTTATTGTGTTATTCTAAGTGACTACTACTCAACACAGAAAATCGAGAAGGCATCCTTATTCCTTTGACCACCACTTACTCTTCTAGGGTAAATCACCCATCATGTTGCTTCTCCTCAAGTCTCAGTTTAAAACTGAGCTTTTTCCTCAGCCACATAATGAAGCCTTACAGACTACTCACCTAGAAAGTGGTAAATATCAAACTGAATGTTTGTCTGTTTGCCCACTTTTGTCATGGTCTTTCCTTCTTCTGCTCATGTTTCCTCTTTCCTTTTTGTACCAACCCCAGCTTTCTTAGTCTTTAGGTCTTAGCCTTTCTTTGTTATCAGTACTCATTTTAATATTATATACTGTAGCTTATAGCTACATATCATATATTATAGCAACACGCCTTTGTTGGGCTTTTATTTGTCGCTCTGAATATGTAAATGAAAATCAAATAATTTAATTTGGAAGTGTATTTTGTTTATTTTGTTTTATTTTACTCTGAGGTTGTTGCAGGTTTTTATGAAAGCCCTTGTTAGCTTAAACATTTCTCACTGATGGAGGTGGCAGCCCGAGATGCCTGTGTGCAGCAGACTGTGTAAGTTTAGTTAGTTTTTGTCTTGTTCATGCTTGTGTACCATGCTTGTCTACATAAACAGGTTCCTCCCTGTATTACATGTACAACTAGACAAACTAGCATATGTACACACACAGAGCCCAGGAAATGCTTCATGTGCTTCTGCCTTCAGTGGAAGTTTCCACTATGTTGAAAAGGCTTGTTTATGCTGAAGAAAGATGACTTGTTTCTTCCCACACCAAATTTAGACATGCTAAAGAAACTGTTTGAGAGGTTCTTTCCCAACAAGACAATGACCATGTGCCATAGCTGCAGAAAGGCCTATATGTGATTTACTATGTAACACAACTGCCACCAGAAAAATAAAGAACTGACTCACATAGTTACAGCTATACTTTGTTAACAGAGAGACTGAATGTGACTGATGTAAATTATGTAGACATTTTCTTAATGTAGTGACAGTGCTTGAAACTGCACAGGATACTGCAGTACTACTTCTATTCAAGTAGATTAGAGGTTTCTGAAATAGTTATTTCACATGTAGCAAATGGAAGATGTGACACAGAAAAAATGATGTTAATTTTAAAATGGCCTTAAAGCAGTCTTGTTCATTGTGAATGAGATGTTAATCCAAGGAACTGTAAAGGCAGTCCTCTCCACCATCAGTGACTAGTATGCAGCTGATCTCTCTCTAGGCCTCCCATGTTCACCAGGCTTTAAAGCACCAAAGTTTAGTTTCATATACACACAGCTGGGGTCACTGCACTGGAGAATAATACCAAAGGTACAGCATTACATTACTTCCTCACTGTAAATTTTTTGTTCTTGCATTATGCACTGTTTCTATTATTGCTGCACTCAAGTGATTTTATATGCAATTCAATTTATTTGTTTCTCTTCCTATATATTTGCTGATGCTCTCCAGTAAATTAAATATTTCTTTGTATGTTCTTTTGTTCTTCTTCTCCCTCCCTCCCTCCCTCCCTTTTTTTCAGCGTCCCCTCCTCACTGTCTATTTCAGTAATGCGATGAACATTCAGACCACTGCAGACATCGTAAATTTCTTCCACTGGCACCTGGGAAGACCTTTGGTCAGACACTCAGTTATAAATCATGTATTGACTCAGAGTTTCCACACTCTCATCAGCTCTGTGTCAGTTTGACCTATGATAAACAGAGAAGCAGAGAGCAATATGCTAACAGAGAGGTGGAAAGACCAATCTGGTAGACACCTAGATAAAAGCACATACTGAAGTGCATGCATGGACACGCACGCGTGCACACACACAAGCAAACACTGAAGGGCCATATAGTGAGAAGAGATAAACAGTGGAACATTAGTGTTGTCAGTTCCCAGCTGACAGTTCTGACACTGCCACTCTAAAAATGGCGGGCATGCAAAGATTGGATATTTATTGATGAGAATGGAAGAATTTTCATCTCCGTCATTTTGATGACAAATGCAGTTTTCTCAGTGATCTATGGAGAATGTAAAACTGAATGACACAAAGCTCATAAGAGGTTCAACTGCCTATATACACCCTCAGGTGTATATAAAACATTAAGGGACCAGTGTCCCTTAATCTTATCTTGATGTTTAAAACATAAACCACATGGCCAAAAGTATGGGGGCATTTGAACAAAGAAGGTCCAAATATTGCACCCATACATGGTTGCTGAACATCTTGCTCCAAAATAACTTTAATATGCCACAATGACATTTTATTACATTACAGGGAGCTGGAAGCTGGCAGTAGGAATTTGTTCCCATTCAGACATGAGCATTGGTAATGTTGGGCACTGATGTTGAGTGATAAGGCCTGGTTTACGTTCAGTGTGTGCTGTAGCATTCAGATTTTCTAAACCATAAAAAAAAGGCCCAAAACCTAATTAGACAAAAGCATGGGGGCAGGCGAGGTGATGGTGGTTCCATGGGTGGCACAGTGGAATGGTGGTTAACACTGTCACCTCATTGCAAGAAGGTTCTGGGTTTGAGCCTGGGCCGACCCCAGGGCCTTTCTGTTCTCCCTGTGCCTACGTGGGTTCTCTCCAGGTACTCTTGACTTCCATGCAGCTTAGGTTAGGTTAGCTTAGGTTTAGCAACTCTAAATAGCCTGTAGGAGTGAGTGTGTGTGGTTGTCTGTCCATATGACAGACTGGCAGCTTGTCCAGGGTGTACCCTGCCTCTTGCCTAGTGTCAGCCAGGATTGGCTCCAGCTGGATGAAATGGATGGATGGGGCGGTTCCATAACAGTTAATTACAATAATCAGAAAACAAAACAAAAGGAATGAAGAAATAGAGAAGAGTGAATGAGATAGTCTTTATTGAACATTCCCAAATGTTTCTAGAATAATGAAATGTCCAAGCTAGCTGATCTATGTATTGCTTTGTTAGGGACGATAGATTTCACTTAGTGGTAGTTGCACCTAGTACGTGTTTGGACAGACTTGGGAATTGATGAGTAAAGTCATTCATTTAGATTAGCTATCTTAAAAGAGCAGCTCCACTGCTGTGTCTTTGTGCAGTAAGTGAATAAGGATGCACCAGAGAGGGACAGAAACTACACTCTGGGCAAATGAAGGTCACGCTTGACAATACTCATCAGTGGTAAGAAACACTGTGTCAGCCTAGTGCATCTCCCTAGTTTGTCTGTAACAGGAGCCATCAATGCCAGCCTTTTTTTAGCTGTGTGTCTTTGCTTAGTGAAGTCACTGATCTCACCCTCCTCTTCATTGTTAGTCCTGTAGGGATGTCATAGGCACTTTTTCACTGGGAATGATGTT